AACAAGTAGAGAAGAAAAGAGGGGAATGGCTGGGAGTGAGGAGGAAGGTGGAGAGAGACAGGAAACCAGCAGGGGAAGGGAACTTGAGTGGGTAGAGACCACACACAGAGGGTGGAGATGCCGCTGGAGAAACCGCCCTGGGGGCCAGGCTCCAATCCCAACGATGGCTCCAATCCCTGAGGCAGGGAATGCCAGCCCCCGCTTCTCCTTCCACCCCTCCCACATCGGCCCCAGTATTCCATTAACGGATACAGGGAGGAAGGCATTTCCTGCCTAGATGTCTCCGCCCCCAGTGCCATGGAGACCAGCCTGGAAGCTTAAGGGAGCTGCTGTGGCCCAGGGCGCAGTGGGAAGAGAAGGCCAGGAGTCTTGGACTAGCTAGCGGCAGGGTTTGAGCTAGGCTGATGCAGCAGAACCACGGAGGTGGCTGAGCAGGGGCCTGGCCCTGGGACCACCCACCCATCCACACTCACACATCCACTTCTCCCTCTAGAGCCCCGCGCTGGAGCAGGTCTCAGCTCCAGGTTTTTCCTTAGTTGGGGAATCGGGATTTGGGGGATCAAACCCCCCCACATCGCTCTCCCCCACTGCAGCTATGTTTATCAAGGTGATGTTTGGGGGTAAGTGGGGGCCTCTGTCTTGGCAGGCGGGTGGGGATGAGCACACTGAGGCTAGCTTCCTTCCGCCCTTGGGGAGGGTGGAGAGGCATTGGCGGGAAAGAGGGGTGCAGATGGCGGGGGTCGGGGAAGCGGCTCTGTGAGGAGGCAAAGCGAGCACCTGGAGCAAGTCCCTTTCAGAGAAAACCCGAGCTGAGTTTGCCTGTTCATTCACGAGGGCTCCTCTCGGCCAGCGCCCGCCGCACCGCCCTGCAGCAGGGTTTTAAATCGCACAATCTGTTTGCCATTCAATCCGTGATCCTCAAACTTCAGCGTGCATCAGACACCTGAAACTCTAGCCAGTGGCAGGTTCCCCGTCCCTCTGGCTGGAGGCGGGTCGGTCTACTGCGGGAGCAGCGGAGGGGAAGAGGGGAACCGGTGGGTGCGGAGGGCGGGGCCTGCGGGGAGGCGGGGCTGGCGCGCACTTCATGCTTTGCAGGCCCCAAGACACCAACACTTGGGAGATGGATGGAGGGGTCTTTCCAAGGCAGCTTAAGCCACAGATGTCGGAGCCGTTGTGCCTGGGGCAGTCGTCGCCCCATAAGCCCAGTCGCAACTCTGGGAAAGGGAGAGACGGGAGAGACAGAGGACCCCAGATTTCCGGGAAAGTCTGGGATCCCACCTGCTCACCTCTGCCACTCCTCCACAGCCCGCAGCTTCGTGCTGGTGAACACCTCCTGCAGGCTGGTGAACCTCACAGCCCACCTGAGGCAGAAAGCAGGATTGCTCCCAGATGGTGAGGAGGCAGGGAGAAGGTGGGACTGAGGGGTCCCAGGCAGGGGTGCCAGCCCTGCCCAGCCTCTCTCCATGTCCTCCCAGTGACCCTTGCTCTCCTGGCTGAGGATGGCAACCTCGTGAGCCTGGAGGAGGACCCGAAGGAAGCGGCTTCAGGCGCCCCCACCATGGGCAGCTCCCTGCTGAAGGAGCGAGCCACCTATGTCCTGGTTCGGATCATCAGTAAGGTGGCCCAAGGCTCTCTCCCCTGCAGCTATGTTAGAATGTAAGAGGGGGGCGTAGCAGAGCAGAGACCACCCAAGACCCTGCCCAGCCTCACACCTTGGCTGGGGACCTAGCCCCAACCCACCCCCACCCAATGCTCTGCCCCCAGCCTGGACTAGCAAACAGTTCCAAAAAGGCAGAGTAGGGACCATCAGGCCAGTCAGGTGTCCTTCATCCTTTCTCCACATGGCACAGAGGGAGAGGGCATGGCCCCCACCCGCTATGAGTCCCTACTGGAGAACCTGGATGACCACTACCCAGAGCTGGCAGGTGAGTGTCAGGGCACAGCCCGGGGGGAGGGCACAACTTCTCCCCAGCCTCTACCAGCAGGACTTCTTGGGCCTTCCAGAGGAACTGCGCAGGCTGGCAGGCCTCTCCTCTGCGGGCCATGACCGGAGGAAGCGCATGGGCACTCGGCGTGGCCACCATGAGCAAAGCCCTGCTTCAAGATCCAGAAAGGTGAGCTCCCTGCCACCCAGGAGTTGCTAGCTGGGACCAGGAGCCAGGTACGGAGGAGATATGGACACCCAGGGAGACACCCAGAGTGGGACCCCTACCTGCAGGCCAGACACATATGATGAGGGGCAGACCCTCCACACCAACTCCACGCACATATGCCCCAAGATAGGGCACACTGTACCCTGAGACAGGTCCCTGCCACCCCACTGGAGGGCCAGTGCATGAAGGGCAGCAATGTCCTCAGGCTTCACAGATGTGGCATAGGGCCTGGCACACAGTAGGAGCTCAGTGCACAACTGCTGGACGAACTCAGTGATGCGGCAGCATGTGTGTGATGGCACGGCCCGCACTGGGTTTGAAGGTCCTGTTCCTCTGTTCTGGCAAGCCCGGGGACCTGGCACACTACTGCCAGCTAGCCAAGTTGGACTCAGACCCAAGGGGGTTAGCCATGACCTCTGTCTCGTGTGATCAGGTGTAAACAGACAGCAACCCAGCAGGAGTCCTCTTGCAGAATCTGGAAATGCTGAGAAGTTGCATCAGCAAGAGGGGCAAGGTCAGACAGGATGTGAGGACGCTGGGGTCCTGAAGCTATGGGTGCAGAAAATAGGATGCAGAAGCAGAGACAAGAAGGGTAGAGGTTAAATTAGCCAGGCATGGTGGCTCATGCCTAGTCTCATCAAGAGGCTGAGGCAGGGGAATCGCTTGAACCCAGGAGGCGGAGGTTGCAGTGAGCTGAGATTGTGCTGCTTCAGCCTGGGCGACAGAGCAAGACTCCGTCTCAAAAAAAAAAAAAAAAAAAGGGTGGCAGACATTTCTGAAAAGGGGGAGATGATGGGTTCATCCTGGGATTTCACCCTCAGAGTCAGGTGCACTTGGGATTACCTGCTAATGGCTCTCCACACCACTCTGGACTGTCCAGGGCATCTGTCCTGTGCTACCCACGGTGCAGATGGCAACAGGGCTCCCCCTCCCCATCCAGGGCCCTGAGTAAGGTGACGGATTGCACACTTAGTGATATCTCCATCCTGACCCCACCTCATCAGCCAGGGAGCTCCCTGAAGACCAGCCATTGAGAGAGGCACACGACAAGATGTGGTCTAAAATAAATTCTTTTACTTGCACATTTGTGTCTTGGGTTAACTGTGGGGTGAGAAACCTCCTCCTCACTTGCAATCCCAGCTATCTGCATACAATCTAGTCTTGTGGTCTAGCTGTTGACGAGGGGCAGAGGTCGATGCAGGGCTGGCCCCTGAGTGCGCCGACATCTTCAGGGCAGGGAGCTCAGACCTGCGGAGGGAAGGGCAGCACAGGCTGGTGGTCAGCCTGCAGGTACAAGAGGAGGGTCCGCCTCTCCCCATCCCCACCTGGGTCGGGGTCCACTCACTCACCATGGTTGTACTTGCACTGCTTCAGGACCTCGCTGAAGCCCTCACACAGGGACAGGTCACTCTGGGTGGTGGAACAGTCAAGGAACTGTCTGATCTCATAGGCGCAGGGCCCCATCTGCAGGGGCTGGGAGGCAGCCTGGGTGGGGGCCTGGGGGTACAGTGCAAGAGGGTGCAGGATCAGCTTGGAGTTGGTACCTGGAGGTGGGTTTCAAAGCTGGGGACCACCTGCTCCTCCCTACATCCCCAGCCTGGGTGTCCCAAGGGTCCTAGGCAGGCTGAGTGACTCAGCAGTGGAGGTGGCCACAGACAGCATGTTTCTGTGCATTCTAATAGGCACGTTGGGCGGGGGCAGGGGAGGGAGGAGAAGGCTCTAGAAAAGCCCAGTACTCTGCCTGTGCTCTCAGAGTATGAGCCCCACCCCCACAAGTTCTAGCACCTTCCTGGTTCAGCCACATTAATCCTCATGACCCCTGACCTAGCCACACAGTGCATTTGGCTTAGGGCCGGTTGGGTCCCCAGTTGGGGAAAGGTCATCAGAGAAGTGGCTGACCTTCGCCCGTGGGCCCAGCGGTCACGATGTCCAGACCTGGGTGTAGGGAGAACAGGGGCTCAGGAAATCCAACATCCCTCCCTTCTGCTAGGGTGAGGTGACCTTGCTCCAGTCTCTCAGCCCCCAGGACCTGGGTTTCCCATCTTTAAAGGGCTGCTTGGTGTTTCTCTCTGGGAGCTTAGGGACCCTGGCCTCAAAGGAGGGGCAGGGAAGCCCGCCTTTAAGTGACAATGAACTCAAGGTCAGAGGAGGAGGGTCCTTCCTGGGCAAAGAGTCCCGGGCTGAGACAAGGGTGAACACACTGGACCTTCCTCACTGGACACTTGGGCAGCTCCCTGTATGGCCTGCAGAGAATCCTGCCTCAGCTTCACTGGGACCCGTTGCTCACCTGCTGGGCGGCAGGCTGGGCCGGCTCCGAGCTCCCCCCGCTGAAGGCTCCGGTCAGGGCACTGCCCATGACATGTCCAACAGCCGAGCCCACGGCTACCCCTGCGGCCGTGGATGCCATCTGAGCCATGAGGCCCGGCTGGCCCGAAGGGGCGGGAGCCGGGGCTGCTGCCGAGGGCGGTGGGTGCGCGGGCGGGTGGGCAGAGGGCGCGGCGGGGCGGCTGTGGGGGTGGGAGGAAGCAGGGTTAATCCTGGCCAGACCCCAGGCCGGGGGGCTGCAGCTCCTGGAAACGGCCCCCGGAGAGGTGGACGACCCCTGTCGCCACACGTGGGTGCTGCATTCTCTCCCCTCCCCCCGCCAAGATGGCGCAGCAGCAGCCAAGGTCACTCTGCGGACGCCCTTGGGGGAGTGCGGACACTTCCCTAACCCCCTCCCCACCGGCCCCTGGCCCCCTCACACCTGACTGGCCGGGCGGCCACGCTGCGGCTTCCCCGAGGCATGGTGGCAGCGGTGGGACCTGGGCGACCTAGAGACGGCGGCGGCGGTTCTGTCGCGGGGATAAACGCCGCAGCGATTGTCACTGCCGGCGCGAGGAGGCGGGGCCTGGGCGGGGCCTCGGGGACACGCCCCCCGCGGGCGGCCCTGCCCCCTAGCCTGCTGCCCTTCTCGTGTCCTCCGCACCTCTCCCTTCCGGCAGCTCTGGATCTCCGCGCCTGTCTCGTCTGGAAATGGGACCCTGTTCCCTCCCTGCGCCTGGCAGGCTGTGCGGGTTCTGGGGACCACGGGCCAGTGCCGCAAAGCGCCAAGGGCTCAAAGAGGGCGACAGTTCCTTCTGTTAGGACCACTGCAGAGCGCAGGGAGCGGAGTTGGGGGTTTTGCGATCCCTGGAGGGTAGAGGAGACGGGGAGGCGACGAGCTAGGGCCAGCCGGGGAGGGCACGCGAGGCTTCAGGCCGGGCTCCGCCCTCTGCCCCCTCCCACCAGACGGGGTCTGCTGACCACCGCGTGACCTCGGGGTCTCGGGTGGCCTAGAGCTGAAAAGCGCAGCCCTGGGGAAGGCCTGGAGCGACCCAGCCCCAGAAACCCCACGAGGGGGCGTCCCAATCCGTCTTCGACTCTCCGGGCCAAAATGCGCTGCTGGCGATGGCAGCCTTGCGTACCGCCTGCGGGGGATGAGATGAGGACCCCCGCGCGGCCCTCAACCCCGCCTGACCCCCGGGCCGGCCCACCCCACCTAGTTCCAGGCCCCGCGGGTGCAGCACTGGACACTGATGGCCTTTAGGAGACATCCAAGCAGCGTGTCTATCCCAAAGGCCTAGCAGCGTTTGCCTGGCTCCGTCAAACCTAGCACAAGTTTGAATCCTGCGGCCTTGCAATTTTAGCACCTTGGTGCCAGGCCAAGAAGGTGAGCTGGAGCACGGATTTAGAACGCTTTCTTGCTCTTCGGGAACTTGAGGTTTTAATTTTTATTTATTTATTTTTTTGAGACGGAGTCTTGCTCTGTGGCCGAGGCTGGAGTGCAATGGTGCCATCTCAGCTCACTGCAACCTCTGCCTCCCGGGTTCAAGCGATTCTCCTGCCTTAGCCTTCTGAGTAGCTGGGACTACAGGCACCCGCCACCATGCCTAGCTGATTTTTTTATTTTTAGTGGAGATGAGGTTTCACCATGTTAGCCAGTCTGGTCTTGAACTCCTGACCTCGTGATCCACCCACCTCAGCCTCCCAGAGTGCTGGGATTACAGGTGTGAGCCACTGTGCCCGGCCGAACTTGAGGTTTTTATAGACTTTTCTGGGTGACTTTGTAGCGGTTGTATTACTACTCCTAGGTGGCGGAGGGCAGGGACTGTCCCTCACTACTGTTTGCTTGCTGGCAGAGGACTCCTGGCACCGGGATTGTGGGCAGGGTGCACCAAGACCAAAAGCACCCACAAGTGGGGTTGTGGGTCACCACGCAAGACAGGAGGCCCTTCTGTAAGGAAGGAGGAGGCTGAGGGGCAAGGGGAGCGGTGGCTGGGGCGTTTGGCCCTGCCTGGCATGCTCAGTTCTGTGTGTGCACAGCTGTCCCCAGCCATGCATGCTCTACATGGAAGCCATATGCAGCCCTGTGCTCACACACTGCTGTCCGTTCAGCCAGCCTGTGAATAGGGCTCTTCCCCAGCCCGTCTTCAGTTTCTCCTCTCTGAAGGGGGGTGACCACCCACCTTGAGGGTGGCCTCCCAGTGAGGTAAGCGCACAAAGCGTGGGCCATTCTTTCCTGGCAGACTCACCAGACCTGGTCCAGCCTCCCTTGCTCATGCAGTCCCTGCCCACCTGGTTCCTGTTTGCCAAACCAAACAAACTGAACACTCTCTTGTCTTGGTGATCCCCTGGGCCTAAACTGCAGAGAGTTGTTAACTTCAGCTCCCATGTCTGATGGACTGCAGGTTCCGCAAGGCATGGCCTTGCACCTCAGAGGCACCCAAGACCATTTAAGTGAGTTACACAAATGAAAATGAGGCTGAAAGGACTCAAGCAACCATTGAAATGCCTACTTTTTTTTTTTAATAGTGTCTCACTTTGTCACCCAAACTGGAATGCCGTGGATCAATCTCCACTCACTGCAACCTCCGCCTCCCAGGTTCAAGTGATTCTCCTGTCTCAGCCTCCCAAGTAGCTAGGACTACAGGCATACACCACCATGACTAGCTAATTTTTGTATTTTTAGTTGAGACGGGGTTTCACCATGTTGGTCAGGCTGGTCTTGAACTCCTGACCTCAAATGATCTGCCTGCCTCAGTCTCCCAAAGTGCTGGGATTACAAGCGTGAGCCACCACACCTGGCAAAAGGCCTACTTTTAAAAAGTGAGTTACTGTAGCAGGGAACAGTGGCTCATGTCTATATCCCAGAACTTTGGGAGGCCTAGGCGGACATATTGCTTGAGTCCAGGAGATCGAAACCAGCCTGGCCAACATGGTGAAACCCTGTCTCTACAAAAAAATACAAAAATTAACAGGGAATAGTGATGCACACCTGTAGTCCCAGCTGCCTGGGAGGCCAAGGCAGGAGGATCGTTTGAGCCTGGAAAGCGGAGGTTGCAGTGAGCCAAGGGCACAGTATTGCACTCCAACCTGAGTGACAGAGCAAGACCTTGTCTCAAAATGATAAAAATAAGTAAAAATGAGTAAAAAAAAGATTGCCGGCTGGGAGCGTGGCTCACGCCTGTAATCCCAGTGCTTTGGGAGGCCAAGGTGGGCGGATCACCTGAGGTCGGAAGTTCAAGACCAGCTTAGCCAACGTGGAGAAACCCCGTCTCTTCTAAAAATGCAAAAATTAGCTGGGTGTTGTTGTGGGCACCTGTAATCCCAGCTACTCGGGAGGCTGAGGCTGGAGAACCGCTTGAACCCAGGAGGCAGAGGTTACAGTGAGCCGAGATCGCACCATTGCACTTCAGCCTGGGTAACAAGAGTGAAACTCTGCCTCAAAAAAAGAAGAAAGAAAGAAAAGATTGCCAGCAGTCTAACAGCCTAGGCTGTAAAAATCACTGCTGTCTTACTTCTCCTCGCCTCTAGGAGTCTCTATGGAGTCTTCTTGGATAAACTGCAGCGTTTCCCCACCTGCTTCCCTTTCATGGCTCAGGCTCCCTGACAACAGCCTCACCTTAGAGTAGCTCAGAGCTCTGCCTGCCAGGATGGGAGCCACTGCCTGGATCTTGGCTGTGCGGGGCCACCCATGATGGAGCAGATCGCCTGGTGAGGTGGTGAGGCCCTTCATCATTTCAGGGGGTGTACGGCAGGATTGGGTAACGCCAAAAATCAG